TTAAAATGATTATTACTCTCTTGTAACACCTCTAATCTTCTGGCACTCATATGACCTCATGCAGTTGCGAGCGCCGAAAAACTTATACTAAAACAAACAAAAGCCGCTGCTCTTGGCTCTCTTAAAAACAACAACACACTTTGCTGCGAAGCGTAAGCACCAAGGATCCTACCATTAAGCCGCCCTAGAAGAAAAGCAAAAACAGTAGTGAGTCGATGTAGTCAAGTATCTTTCCTCTTCCCCATCCCCTTGCCCTCCGTTTGGCTTAAATTGAGTCAAATGGTGTGTTCCATTGGGAATCGGAAATGTTTGTCAGAGTGCATAATCTGGGATATCTTCATTATATGTTTGCTTGTTGTTGTTTTTATGGTCGGGTGTTAATGTGTACCATGCGGGAATCTTTCAATTTTTATGTATTTATTTATTTATTCATTACATTAAAAAAAGGGGGGGCTTGTGTAGCATCTCTTCGATTCTAAACGCCAGAGGACGATGATAAGGCCATTGCTAAGTGTGACTAAATGATTTTTTGTTCTCAACAACTGTCTCGGTGTGTGTTTTATTTTAATGTTATTTTCTACTACACACACTTCTGTTATCGGCACACGGTCCTATTATAAGCAGTGTGGGCACTGTGGTGTTGTCTTCTCCTTCTTTCCTATTTAAAAAATGTTTCGTCCTTTCTTTTCGCTCCTCCTTCTTTCTTGTGTTTTGTTCCTTTCTTGTAACCCCCCCCCCCCTATACTCGTCCAAAAGGGATGCGCACGATAAAGTACCACAGACAGAAACAGCAGAAGGGAAGGAAAGAAGTAGGACCCACTACTGGCGACCTCCAGCCACGTGCTGACATTGTGTGATGGTGTGAAAAAAAATGTAAATGTTGCACATTTGATGTGGTTGAAGTTTTTGGGGCAGGTAAAAAAAAACAAAACAAGGGACATGTCGTTTTATGGGTACACCCCCCACCCCTCTGAAATTGGGATAGTTTGGCGCTGTGTGCTATATCGCAACAGATGGTAATATATATGGGCTACATGCATGTCTTCTCTTCGTTGTATTTCCAGTCGTCCGCCACTCATTGTGCTTGTGCTAACGACCCGTGAAGGTTAAATGCGACATGCCCACGATCTCTTTGTCGGACAAACACACCACTGTACAATTGCCCGGAGCCAACGAAACTTTATTTTTTATTCATCTATTTTTGTGCGCGCGCGCGCGCGCGCGCGCGTGTGTGTGTGTGTGTGTGTGTGTGTGTGTGTGTGTGTGTACGCGTACGTGTACGTATGTGTGTTGTTGTTCTTCCCTAAAGCGCCAAGTAAGACGGAGAGCAGTCGACGCCACGTTTGTCTGTCCCTGGCCTCGTCCTCCTTTTTTATGTATTTATATATATTTTTTTAGTGCTTCAAATCTATCGTAGTATTTGTTAAAACCGAAATCCTGAGCGCCTCGTTTGCATCGTTGGTATCGGGCGCCGCTCCGTTAGCTCAGTTAGTAGTATCGTACATGTTGAGTTACGGAGCGGAGCAGGTGGCCCTGGTTCGAATCCCAAACTGGGCAGTCGGATATTCGGGTCGTTTTGTGTTTTCAAGGCTCTCAACTCACCTGGCTCGGTCCTATTGGGGACTGACGTTAAATTCCTCTTAAATAACCTATTAGTTTTGATAGGAGTGTTAAACCCGTACTTTTACACTACTCTTTCTTCTTTTTTTTTGGGGGGGGGGGGAGTGTTTTACGGCACTTGCAACTGCAT